TAGATTTCGAATATAATGAACGAACTTTTAATTATTGCTGGTGTTTCGGCGTTCGAATTTTGAACTATATGTAGGTATATACACTGTGCGAGCAAACTTTAGTGTAATTGGTATCCAAATCAATTCGTCCAAACAGACATCGAGGACAAATTTGCGAAATGTCGATAAATCCGCGCTAAATGATAATACACCCCTATTGTGAAAACGAACGATAAAATTCCGGACAATTTCAATCTGCTGATGAGGGAGGGAAATGGACGAAAACGAGTTGCGTTGCCGCGCTTCGCTTATTTTTGATTTTTATTCTGTTTTGTCGATTTTTTACCGCGTTGCTTCCTATTTAATTTTTCAATGTTTTCGCCGATTTGCCAACGACGAGTTTGTGTGTATTATTTCGCATTCGGTTCGATTTTATTCCATTAATTATTTTGATACATATGTGTAGATAAACGGTTAATGTTTGAGATCAATAATGAATATCTTCATACAATACAACTAAAACCAATTTTACAATATCATAAAATGGCTTCATATGAACATTTAAATTAACTAAAAGTAAATAACTTGCCAATTTATGGAATTTTTAGATAAAATATCTCATATGGGAGTTTATGAACGGTACGAGAATGTCTTTATATCAACAGAAATTTAAACACATTAAATTATTTTGGCGAGGTAAAAGTCGTATTTTTCCGGGTCTATTATATATTTTTAAAATATCTTACAGATGATTTGCATTTTGTATCATTTAATAATGACCATAAAAATGTAGCTGTGAAAACTAATTAATTTTCTTTTGAACCGACACCTAAATCTCGTCGGGAAAATCCCCCTCACCGAGCGAAATGTAAATGAGAAGCGTTCCCGAAGAGCAGCATGGCCGCCAGCTGCCATAAAACAATTTCCTTTCGGATTACATTCATAGTTGAGTCACGTTTCTCGATGACGTACACAAAATTGAGCCAGGAGAATAGAGAATGAAATGCGGCGTCCCTTGGCGTATCTCCCGGAGTCGTCGGCTGGATAAGCGCCCTTATGGCGCCCGTGGAAAAGGTCGCTTTTGTTCGATATTAACGATACGGACTAGATGTGGGAATTATTGTATGATATGCCATAGGCGTGCTGGATGATTTACTCTTGTTACAGTAGATGCAATCCATTGAACTACTATAATGCTATAATGAGCTAAATATACCTAAACGTAGTGAGAACGTGCATCTTTTGCTATAGTAGGTATATAGAAAACTATTATATACTTATTGTGGAAGTTCAAATCAAATACTTAGTGATGTAAAAAAGTCCTGGTTCTAGTTTATAAGTTTTTATATAAATATTTAAAGTTTATTTAATAATTTAAAGTTCTAAAAAAGTGTTAATGAATAAAATGAATACTTGGATTCATTTGCAACAATCTAACTTATTCCTAATATACTTTAGTCCATGTTTCTTCTTCTAACATCTCCTAGTCTAGTAGATATGTCGTTTCTTCCAAATATTCTGGTGCTTTTTAAAGGGTGTTTCAATAAGATCGCAAGATTTGAATTGGCTGTCATGTTTGACAGTCATAATGACACGTGATTATAACATGACAGATCGAAAGTTGACAGTTGGGAGTTAGTAAATATGGATCATTGGATCTGGATATGGAACATAAACGCGCCCTAATTGTTAAACATTACTCCCGGCTGGGCCATTTCCCGGTTTGGTGACCAGAATTGGCCGCCACGTTTTTGTGATTTAGCACCTTTGGACTTCTGGCTGTGGGGATACTTGTAGTCCCAGGTTTATGCCAACATTCCCGCGACCACCGAAGCGTTGAAAGCCGAAATTAGATGCTCTATCATCAATAAAATACCGCCACATGTATACAACAATGCTATTAAAAATTTCATCAAAAGTTTACGCTTGTGCCAGCAAAGCCGTGGCGGCCATTTACAAGATATTTTGTTTCATATTTAATTCCTAAATGTACACATGATAAATTTATAAATATTTTCATATTTTGCTACAGGTAACATTGTTTTATGACCCCGATACTTTGGTAATGCATTAATCAATACTTTGTTTTGGGATTTTCGAAAAAATTTCCTGCATCTCAACGAATTTTCTAGCTATATCCCCGTTCTTATCTAAAAGAAATTAATTAACGTCCAAAAGTAGAATGCAAAATTCCGTATTCAAAGCAGAGCGTCGAGAGAACAATGTGATGATATCAAATTATATTGTTCATGACAGGCCCATTTCCATTTCGTGTTCGGCGCAAAATAACCCTCTTGATATGGCTCCCACCGCTTTCGATTGTAGAAATCGAACAAAAGAAAGGAGGATATATATTTATTCGGTAGTCATGACGACCGTTTTTATCGTGTCATCCCGCTCGTAAAAGAGTATACCAATACATAGTTTACATAGTACCTAGTAGGTACATAGTATTTTTAAATATTTTTTTTACTCATTGATTCACTTTTACTAATTGATGATTGTTTGTTATTGAAACAAACCTTTTATTTTCTATTTAAACTGACCTTACATATTGTGAAATCTTTAGTTAAATTCTGGAATTAGTTTACTTAAACACCATGAAAATATCGTCCAGTAACCGAAGATTTAACTAATACATATTTCCGAAAAATATATGGGTTCAACCGACCCTTTATGCGAGACACTTACAACGTTACATTTATCTCGGAATCGAATTACATGGCTCGCATTGGGGATAATTCTTTGAAAGGGCAGCTGGGAATTACATTTAAATTAAATAATGGGATTGCGTCTTGAACCCCGAGTACCTGTACGCCCAGCGTATCGAGTTTCATATACAAAATGCAACTTTTCAATGCTTAATGTTCGAATTGTATCGATGAATGTTTTTGTGGTCGACGATATAGATGAAAGATATGATACAGATGCTGTTAGGTACGCTGACACCGTTTCATTTGTGCTAGATATTTCAGTTTCGAAATTTTAAACGAATAAGAAGATTATAATGCAACGGAAGAAATTTGTTGATCGATAGGTAACCAGTGAATATTTTATTTGAATAGATTATGTTGTAGTGGATAAATCCTCTTCGGAGATTTAATGTGTTAAATGGCAACTCAACATACTAGTATAAGTACAACTAAAGTTGCACAACTGTATAAATATAATGTAAAATACGTGTTTAAACGATCCTTATCTATCACTGAGATATTGAAAAATTAAGGCAACCATTAAGCTGGCGATGGTATCGCTGAGGTGGTTCTCTTGTAGACTTAATAGGATCGGACTGACAGTTTAACATCGATTACAGATTGATAGGAAAACCACACCTTTTCAAAGTGCATTAAAACACGATACACGTTCGAATTTAATCCCTAATGGCCTGCTTAACCAGTCTGATAAGTGATAAGTTATAATATCCATGGGGGGCTATTTAGCTTCGGGATTAACCAGCGCCGGACGATTTCTAGATACATATTAATAATAATTTGTTGAAATACAAGGCTATTTATACTAAGATTTCGATAACATCGACCAGAGCAGGCGATAAAATTGTTGTGTAGGTGGGTGGATAAATACTTATCTATTGATTTGAAACAAGAGTAAAAAAGCGATGAAGTAAAAAGATCGAAAATGATAGAACTATTTACCTAAGAGGATCTGGTTTAAAATTAAGTAAATAATAAAGATATAATTAAATATGTAAGGAGATTAAATAATAAAAGTTAAAATAAATGATAATAAAACGCTAATAAATGCAGGATCAATAGTTTGAAGCCAAATAAAAGTGCTAAAGACGGAGTTAACACAGAGAATGAAATGTTAATTACAGACATCCTGGATTGCCGATGAATCCAATATCTTCCAGAATGAAAAATCGATATAGTGTTTCCTTTTAATTATCTTCTACACATTGTATAAAGGAAGTTATGACACCCGAATGCGAGAATGTTTCTAATCTACGACTATACCGCGACAGCGTGTATTTTTCTTTTGTTTCCGAATCCGTGATGGCGGTGTAGCCAATCAGAATCAACGAGACGATGTATTGTTGTTGCCAAATGAAAAGCTCCCTCCTGTATTGTGTCTCCTGCTTTTGTCGAAAGGGGCGACTTGGGATTATTCCGTCCAGGGGCGTAGCGGAAGTGCTCTTGACGGGCGAAGTTAAGAGGGTGATTTTCGTGAATCGGTAAGTTGAATTGGTGCAAGAGGGTAGCCACATGTGTGTTCGTTAAGGGAGGTTTGGTTTCAACGTTGCATCATGGAAGAGTATGTTAATATGGAAGTTAATAATACAAGAATACATCTTGTTAACTTTTCAAAATGTGCATTCCTGATGTCGAATTAAATATGTTTGCGTTAATACACGTAAAAGTAAAAAACTATAATAAAAAACTGATACATTTGCTTAGATACCTACTAATTAATATGAATAATATAGGAACAAATTGAAATTGTTTATTATTTTCTTGTTATCAATAAATGAGCTGTAGAAAATGGACGTGTAAACAAAATTTTACAATCTTATCAAAATTACACTATCTTAAGGTGAATTTATAACGTAACAAAACATTGGTGACATTATTTTACTCGAACCACGTCCCTACTCACTGTATAGTATCTAAATAATTAAGTATAGTGATAAAACGAAAGGCTTCTCAATAGTCCTGACCTCTGGTCGCTTCGCTCGTATCACCTTTTCGAAACAATACCGGACCCAGCTCATTTGCTATCAAAATTTGATTCGATCTATTTCACTTGATCTCAATTTCAACGTATTATTTGTCGTATAATTAGTGTTTACGGAAGTAACAGAAAATAGCAGCTATAGATAGTCTTTAAAACCGAAATGATAATTTTATACAATAAAACAATTTAATTAGAGATTTATTTTATCAAACTGTTTATATCTAGTATTTTCGACAGATTAACCGAACGAAATAATTAAGTACGGTTCTGTTTTCTGTACTATCGCCTTGATAACCAACAAAATCTTTAAAATTTCTTAGCATGTTTAACGACGATACATCCCAACGTACATCGAATCGTGTGAAAAGTAAGGCCAAGTAAACAACGTGTAAAACACACAATTTTATTATGGCCGAATGCATTCAGTCGATCTCCGCATGGGATTCCATCAAAATTCACGTGTTGTCCATCGTCTTCGGCATGTGGATACTCTGCAAGAAGCTGATGAACCGTTTGTGGAAATCGAAAAGAAGCAACAGTCTTCAATTGCGTGATAGTCCGCCCTCTTGTCTATTGGACTCATACTTAGGGCAACACAAGTACGTCAAATTGAAGGTCAGTTTTATTTTCGGTGTGTTTTTATCGATTCGGTTGGTTGGGAGACTTAAATAGCGTTTGTTTTGATTCCGAGATTATTTGGGTTAAAATAAGTTAAATTAGAATTGGGTTTATTATGTTAATAAGGGCGCTAAATAATTTCTGAACGACCACAATCAACGAGAGTACAAACCTTCCATATAAACCGCAATTGCATTGATTAGTGGATAGTACTATTTACATCATAAATTCAGTAGCATTCGTATTAAATAAGAGTATACTTCGTTGATTAGGATTTTTTTGTCTGGAAATGTTGACCATAAAGCTACATACAGTTTTAGTTTGCAATATAGGCTATGGGTGCAACCCTATGGGTGCAAAGACAACTTCTATTAGACACTTATAAAGGAAAAAGAAAGAGTGATATTTTATTAATCTTTCTTTGTTCAACTCATAGAAATGACCATATTGCAAAATGAAATGCACTAAGGTGTATAAGCAACATATTTAATTGAGAATAATAATTTTTTACCTACTTTATTGTTTGGTCCTTTCTGACTACTTTTAAAGCCAAGTAGAGGCTTTTATTTATTACCGACATCAACCTCTCATGCAAATTTACCATCAGAATATCATCTTTTAAGCATCAATCAAAATTAATATCGATAAATTTGTTATTTTTTGATGTCCTTCAAATAGAATTGGAATTACTAGGAAACTTACAATGTCTGCTGGACTTTGCCATTAAAATATTTTTATAAGGACATACACCTTTTCGCCTTGTTCTTTTGCCCTCATTACATCTCGTGAATAAATGACAACAGTCTGGATGGAATAATTATTATCTACATAATAAACACAAGATGATTCAATTCTGAAGATATACGAGTATTAATTAATTTGTTGTACATAAACTCGTTAATTATTTAACTTATTTGTATTATTTTTTGTTACAATTACGTTCGTAAATAATATCTACATACCTACCTATTTATTTTTCATTGTTGCTGGTGTACCCAAATTAATACAATATAATTCTTTTTAGGGTGTTAAATTCCACTACGTAGAATCAGGCCCCAAAGACCAGCCTTTAGTCCTTCTATTGCACGGTTTTCCGGACTGTTGGTTGAGTTTCAGATTTCAAATACCGATATTGAGTCAACATTTCAGAGTAGCGGCGTTGGATCTTAAGGGTTTCGGGGACTCCGATAAACCAGCGTGGAGGACTAATTATAAAATTGATACGATCCTCAAGGAAATCGCGGAATTCGTTCACGCTTTGGGGGCAGCGGAATGCATAGTGATCGGTCACGATCTCGGAGCTTTGATCGGCTGGTATTTGGTCCATCAGTATCCCCATTTGGTGACCAAGTTCATATCGATTTCATGCCCGCATCCAAATGTCTACTGGCAGAATCTCACCAACGACGGGTGCTACCTTTACCAATGGTTGAATTTCGTTCAAATGCCTTATTTACCGGAAATAGACGCGCTCAAAGAAGACGTCAAAATCATCAACCAGTACCACAAACACTTGCATCCCAACGATGTTTATTTGGAGGCCTACAAATACTCTTTCTCCAGGCGAGAGGACTGGACGGGGCCGATTAATTATTACAGGAATCTTCCTTTTATTAGAATACAACAGGATTCGGAGAGAGTCGCTTCTTCGGTGTTCCTCATCACGGGCGGCAAGGATAAGTTGGTGAAGCTGGAAGGCATCGTGAAGTCAACGGAGTTTTGCGAAAAGTTCGATTTGAAGATAGTCGACGGGGTCGAGCATTTCCCCCATCAGGAAAATCCGGACGTCTTCAATGAAATTCTGTTGAAATACTTGATCGTTATCAACGCGAGCGACAAGACCTACGAAGGATCCTCCACGAGGCTCATGAAAGGATTGTTCGGAGCAATGAGTAATACTGTGAAATACGGAAATTCAGTTTTCGATCACGTGCAAAAACGAACGAATAATGTGGTCAGTAGTATACCTAGTATAGGACTTTTAAATTATTCCCAACCTAATTTGTAAGACATTTTTTTTCACAATTACAATATTCGTTGGTACTTCTAGATAAGGACAGTGAAGCTGGTAGACCTACGTTTTGTTATACTGGTGGTTTAAATGGAATTCAATATAAAATTATTAAAGTAGCTCTTAGCACGGTGATTACTAATATTTCAGTTACGGTTTGATGGTGCTGAGAAGAATTAAAATTATATGGCTTACGATTGATGGCTTACAATGTGTATGTTAACTCGATATGTTAAAGAAGAGAAAAAACGAGAATATTCCTATAAATCATCCGTGGGTTCCTTACGGAAGGAAACGAGTGAGAAATCTGTTATTTGTTAGGTAGCTAAATTCAAAAATCCGGACAGAATTGTACATACATATTTAATTAAATTAATTGTAAAGTAAAAGCGAGTGTATTATGTGTGTTAATTTTTTGTAAAAACGTTAAAAATATAAATAAAAATTGATTACCTGTAAATAAATATCATGATTTTTTTTTAATTTAGGACACCCTGTATTCTTCAATAGTTGTGGCCCTCTGTGTGGAAATTATCGTATTATTACAGACACCTTGAGTTAGAAGATTACAGTGTGCTATTTGTCAACTTAAGAAATACAGTCACAACTTCTCTAAGAGATGGCGTTGGTAGGCAAAAATTTTTAGGTATAAAGTGTTGCCTAGAACAATATTTTTATTTCTGAAAACCTCTTTCTAATTTATGTAATTGGCATAAGTAATTAGTAATAATATACTATGAAGAAAGCAACAAAAAAATTTGGAAATTTTTCAAAAAATTCAAAGTTTAATTTTTTATTAATTAATTTATTATTTTTATTAATTTTAACTAGGTGTATGAAAAATCACCGGAAAATTTTATAATGAAAGCAAGTAATTGTTTAAAAAAACTTAATAAAAATAATTTTATTACAAAACGACTCCAGTTGTGCTTATTAATTTAAATTGATTCATTAAAAATAATGTGCAAAAAATAAATGTGTCCTCAGATGGCCTCTTCGAAAAAAAACAATGATTTTTTTAAATTCCGTGTATTTTAAAAGAAGTGCACTCACGGTGAATATGAACTCATTTTAGAATAAATGCAAATATTTAAATGACCTACAGATCAATTAAAATATTGGGTACATTTCCCATCATTTCATTTAATTTTTCAATGTCATAGATAAAGGAGTGCCTACCATGAGGCAAAATTAAAAAAGAAAATCAAAGGCACGAAATTTCAATTGACTGCAATATTATTGAAAATTTAGCATCAAAGTGAAAACTAAACGTATAGAGATAGACGCATCAAAGAAGACTATTTTATCACTGAACGCATTAACACTAGTAATTCCTTAATGCACGTCAATGAAAAAAGCGAAAAAAAAAACCGCCGGAAAGGATTATAAAAGGAGTAAAGCAGGAGAGCGCGACCGTCCGCAGGATATACGTAGGATCCTGTCGAACGTCGATTTTCCCTCGCACCGAGTTCTTCGCTTAGTTCGCGATCACCGTCTCATCCAAACGCAACCCGAAAAACTCCAAAGAAAAAAATATATTTTTTCCACCAGCAATCCGTCGCGAATTCGAAACTCCTCTCGCATGTGCGCCGTGCCGCGCCGAGTGATGAGTTGCTGTCGAAGATGAGTAGTTCACGCGGAAAAATGTCGTCGCACGTCTACGAGAATCTGCCTTTGAAGCGTCTGATGAGGCACGGCGAGCTGGCCCGGGCCAGCAAATTCGCCTTCCCCGACGACAAGTCCAAGAAGCTGAAGAGCCCCGACATCCAGGACTCCCTCGAGGCGCTGCTGGACGCCTCCAAGAGCCCCGAGAAGGGCGACCAAAGCGCCAGAAAGGACTTCGGCAGTTCCGATACGATAAAAACCTCCAACGAAGAGCAGAGCCTCAATCAGAATGGACACAGTAAGAAAGCTTCTACTTCTACTATGGATGATGGGTATGGATCTTCCAATAGTACACCACAAGTTTCAGGTAACAATTTAATCAATTCTATTCAGTAAGCAGCGGTTTTTGTATTAAACAGTTTTATAATCCTATGGTTCTTTGATTATTTGAATCTACGTATATTGTAATCAAATTGTCTAGAATTGTCTACTACAGTCTTTGCTAGCTTAACTTTTAAATATTCGAGTATTAACTACATATTTTTATTGATTCCTTAAATTATTTAAAATTTGTAACCGTTATAACTTGTTTAGTTTTTTATGCTAACATCAATCAATCTATTGTGTATTTTCTCTTCTTTTACATTTATCCAGCTTCATATACAATTTCCCTTTCATCTACCTATGCAGTAATGTTTCATCTTAAGTTGCTACCTGGTGTTCAACATCTTAATGGCATCGAAATGAACAATATTCGAGACGGATAGGCATAATTTAGCGCTATACACCTCTACCTTCGAGCTAAATTAAGATGGAAAATGATTAGCGCGTCGAATTAACGTTTTAATTGTTGGTACCAGAGGGTATGCTATGAGTAAACTGTTTTTAATTGCCACGAGATCGCGCATTCGGTTTGTCGTCAGGGTTAATTTTAATTAAAAAACTGGTTGATAAGGTTTGCTTCAAGCTCTTGCTTATTTACCACGAGCAATCAAAATATTTCGAACAAGCGAAGCTCAATAAATATAAAAAATATCCTCGATAAATTCATCGAATTGTTAGGACCTCGAGATCGGATGGTTCATCGATGGTCATTTTTCCATCGAATGCACGATGTGCGTACACTTTTCGAAAGACCATCGTGATTGCGCGAGAAAAGGAAATATCTCCTTGATATTGGTGTTCTGGTATGCAGTAATGTGCAGTCGGACCTGTTTCGTGGAATTTCGCCCCGTAATTGAGAGAAAGCCGGGCGCGGGGAGGCTCTCCGGATCGCAGGACGTCTTAATACCTATCTCGTCCTTATCCTCCACGTCCTTATCCTTGGTCGTTTGCGCGAAATAAATTCTGTCGTTAAGTTAGTATCAAATGTCGTTTTGTTCGTATAATAGCGTATTGGAATCAACAGAATCTTACACAAGCGTATTAAAAAATATTCGTTTTATTTGAAACCTTTTGATATGTAACGGATGATTACTAAATGCCAATTTACGGGATGCTAATTACTTAGGTATTAATATAAACAAGGCTGATAAAAAGCAGAAATATTTCCCCGCTAAACCGTAAACGAATATGTAACCGCAATAGAGATAAAAAAGTTAAATAAACGGTGAAAAACATGAAAAGTAAAGAGAAGAGAGCTTTTGCCAAAGCGTATTTACTCAAAAAATCTCTACCAACAAATCGAGCAAACGTTTCCATAGAATATTTGGCAGTTTCACTCAAAATTAGGTAACAAATTTTTTTACAGAAATATTAGTTTTCAAAGATTTCATTACTAAATCTAAGGTCTACGATATATTCAAAATTCAAATATTAAAATTGAACCTTTAAAGTTTTTGTAACCTATAAAGAATTAATTATTTCACAATATGTAGGTATGTTTCAAAAACTGGCCATTTACACCACAAAATACGCATTATTTTAAAATATTTTTAACATTAAATTTTTTAATGTAGTATGTAACATACTAAATATTCGTTTAGTGCTCATTTAACCTCATTTAATTTTTCCACCTGAATTAAATTCTTTCAAATTTTCTACCCTCTTTTCGCCGATATTTCTTAAATTATTTAGGTTTTTTTTAATTAACGATATGGGTATCGGTATTTTTTACGATTATTGGACGTCGCGCCGCCGTCCCTGCAGCCGATCGACGCTCGCAATCTTCGACCAATTACATGTAAATGAATATCGGGCTGGCGGTGTCACCACCTAGTCCTCGATGGTATTTCAATAACTGTACCTGCAAGGAATCGGCAAACGGCTGCTCATTCTCTTCCAGTCTGCCTCCGTCCCATCCGTCCTTAATCCGGATAACTGTCCCAGCCTGCACGCTTTTATTCCTGCGGGTCGATGGATGGAAATATGAAAATAACAAATAATAATTTTCTAATTCTCCCCGAGGGGAGTACCTTATTTCTTGTTTCACTGCGACACGGTGAAGTAGTTCGGCTATTTTTTATTTCGGACGAAAGGTCGGGAATTGGGGAGAGCTTGGAATAGGAGCCGAGATAAAATATATAGGAATATTAAAGTTTAGAAAAGAGAAATTCTCAATTAAGGAATTCCTTGGACCGATTCGTGATTGAGGACATTCCGAATGAAGTTTTACAGAAGGTCTCCGACGGTTTTTTCTTTCGTAAGAGAGGAAAAGGTGGTAAAAAAATTGAGGGGACGTTTTCGTTCGTGAATTGATCGTGGAAAGATATAAAATATGTTTATATATAGGTTACCGATTTTTTAAATAATATATGGATGTATTTGTGTAAATAACTTATATATTATACAATATATTTAGTTTTGCATTTTATTTCAGGAAAAGGCAACTCGAAAAATCAATATTATTCGTCGAATTCAGAAATAAGCTGTACATTAAGGAAGAGTAAGTATCGATATTTTTAAATTAAACATAGGTAATTATTTCATTTAAATAATTTTCTGGTTTTCTTTCTCTTTGTGCCGATAATAGGTGTCAAATTTTATATTTCTCTAAATTAAGTTTATCTAGTGTTTGTTGTATTTTCAAAGGTATGGAGATTTTCCCAATAAAATTTCCAGGCGATAGGTAAAGAAAAGTCCTGAATCGGAGCCTTTGAAGTTTAGGTAGTATATTGCCAACGAACTCAATAAAAATTTTCACTACATTTGATTTAGTATTATTAGAAACAGTAAACCTATTTATTTCCTAAACGGAAAATAACATTCCTCAATTATTTATATTGTCGTATATCATCAGTAGATATTACATTGTAGATTATATTATGTTGTATTTATATATGTACAACATTTTCGATTGTTGAGGTGATTATTTTCACAGAAGATCTTCATGTACAAGTTGAAGAAGACGAACACGAATCCTTCGTATTGTCCACGAGCTCCAGTCAAGCGGCTGACGTAGATCCTGACTCAATAACTGGCGCTCCTGATGATAACAGAGAAACGTGGGGATCCAACACAGATTTTTTGTTGTCTATTATAGGATTTGCCGTGGACTTGGCCAATGTTTGGAGGTTTCCGTATTTATGTTACAGAAACGGTGGAGGTGAGTGTAATTTGCCTCTTCTGCTGAAATTTCTCATTCGTTAACCTCTCTGTTTTACACCAATATTAACACATCGAATTCGTTTTGCTTATGTGGAAGTTTTATCTAAAATTTATGAATCGATGCTTACTAATTTTGATTATAATAAAGCATAATTTTTGGAATTATCAAAGTCCGAATATTCCTACTTGGATACCAGAATTCTATTAAGCCTTATCCTTTACTGGAAATTCCCCAGTCTGCGATCGACGAAACTTCAGAAATTTTTTTATTATCCATAAAGCGATCGGTTTATTCTCTGTTGATCTGGCAGACGGTCTGGGTCTCCTTTCTCTAATCTATGGAAGCGTCCCGACCGGAGGTAAGCAATAAGCCATAATCTCTTAATTAATAGTTTAACTACCGGCTCTTTTGATCTCCTTTTTACGCTTCGCAAAGGACAAGGTTGGGCGACAAAAGGGTATATTTGAAAAGGAAAAAAAAGAAAGTCTGATTTAATTTAATTTCTCCTATGGGTTATGAAAAATACCATAGGTAAATATTAAATTAACCTCGTATATTCAACCTTATATACTGAACTATTAGTGCAATTGAAACGCTATTGCTTAAATATATCATAGGAAGAGGCATATTTACGTGAAAATAAAATTTTCTATCATGCATCATATATTCCTCACATATCCTACACCTACTCCTCAGGTATATTGAATATTCAATATGTTCTGTTATCAGTGGCGTTTATTGAATGTTTGAATATTTCCTTTCAAAATCATCGAAAAGTTTTCAAAATATCGCTGCAATGCGAATCGGAGAAGTTAGGGAAATTTGAATTCGAATAGCCACCCTGTAAACTTTCGAATATTAATTTCTCTCGCGTGAAATTGAAATCCAAGTTCGACTCGTATAAATTTGATCGGACATAAAAAATAACCGCACTTTCTTAACATTTCTTTACTTTATGGAGGAATATTCGAGAGCTATAATGCTTAGTTTATTTTTAAAATGGTGATTACAGCGCGAGTGAGTTAATTACCGGACGATACGATAGCCCAAGATAGAAAAATTTGAAAAATTTAAGATTTTGGTAAAAAAGAACATTTTCCTTTCCAATATATTTGATTATTATACTTAGTGATTAATTAATTGGAAATATTTTAAATTCTAGGTGCTTTTTTAATACCTTACACATTAATGTTAGTGTTCGGAGCTATGCCATTATTTTACATGGAACTTATATTGGGCCAATTTTATAGACAAGGTCCTATCAGTTTGTGGAGAATATGCCCTTTATTCAAAGGTGATACCACTCAAATTATCATTGAAACTATTTCAGAATTGATTTGTTTTTTTACATTTCAGGTGTTGGATTTTGTGCTGTCTTAGTTTCATTTTACGTTTCGTTTTATTACAACGTCATTCTCGGTAAGTTTAATTTCAACTTAAAGTGTTTCGGTAAGCCTCTATTAGTTTATTTATTTAATTTCAGCCTGGGCATTGTACTTCATAGGGTCCAGCCTTAGCTCAGCTCTGCCTTGGATTCACTGCAACAACACCTGGAATACAGATAAATGTTGGGACAGCATGAATACGAATAATAGCCAAAAATTACTAAATGCGTCGATGATCAACGAGACATCCAGAACAAGGCATACACCAGCTTCCGAATTTTTCAAGTAAGTTTGAATTACTACTCGTATAACGTTTCCAGTTTATTTGGGAATATTTCGTTATTTCAGTCGAGCTGTTTTGGAGATGCAAGGGAGTGACGGCTTACACGCAATGGGAGCACCCAAGTGGCAATTGGTCTTGTGTCTCGTGGCTATTTACTTTTTATTATACATATCCTTATTCAAAGGAGTTAAATCAACAGGTAATAAAACTTTGATGCAATTTATTATCCATTTTATACGAATCGTAATTGCTCTTTTAGGTAAAGTAGTTTGGGTAACAGCAACTATGCCTTATGTGGTGTTGACAATACTATTGATAAGAGGCTTAATGTTACCCGGAGCATTGACAGGCATATCATATTACTTGCAGCCTGAATTATCGAAATTAGCCGAGACACAGGTACCATTATCAAATATTAAATAATTTTAATAAAACATATTGTATTCTGCTAAATTTGTTTAGGTTTGGATGGACGCTGCCGTGCAAATATTTTACTCAGTAGGAGCAGGATTCGGAGTTCACCTGTCTTACGCGAGTTACAACACTTTTCACAATAATTGCTATAGGTTGGAAGTTGTATTGTATTTACCGAAATTTATTAAAAACCTTTATTGTTTTATAGGGATTGTATCATAACAACCATAATTAATTGTTTCACCAGTTTCTTCTCTGGATTTGTAATTTTTACTTATCTTGGATACATGTCGTACAAACAAGGCGTTCATATCAGTACTGTTGCGGCGGAAGGTACTTTTAATACGAGATTTAAAGGAGAAGTTCATTGAGTTTTATTTTCAATTTTAGGTCCAGGATTAGTTTTTCAGGTTTATCCAGAAGCAGTCGCAACGTTGCCGGCTTCTCAACTATGGTCCATTTTATTCTTCTTCATGCTGATTATGTTAGGAGTAGATTCCGCGGTAAGTTCACCTGCCCAAACCATATATTCGAATGTGATCGTTGTGGATATTTTTCTTTCTTTACACGTTTTCCCGCATAATTTAAAACCGAGTTGTACAATGAATCACCTCTGCCGTTAACTAGCGGTTTAAAGTGGAAGAAAAAAAAAACGATGCGACCTGAAAGTGACAGTATGAAGGGGTTGAATTTTATTTAAAAGCCGCAGGAAAATTCGTTTTCGTTTATTGAAACCCCCCTGATTGTTCATTATCCTTTCCGAAATATGTTTGCCTAACCAGTCGAGCACGCACGACCCCTTTTATTACCTTTTCGGATCAATCAATTTCTTGTATTTCATTCTGGGTGAAAATCACCCGGATATTATAAATTCCATGGAGATTATTTTCATCGGAACGTTATTGTTATCTACAAGAATTATCTGATACATTATATTGTATGATTTTATTTTACTTATGAATTAAGATAAATATTTTGTTATTATTTCAAGTATTTTAAAGTTTACTATATTTGTTCTTGCAGATGGGTGGATTGGAGTGTGTTATAACAGGATTAATGGATGAATTTTCGAGTTTTTTTAAAAACAAAAAGTATTCCAGAGAAATATTCACCTTAGGTATTATTATTTGCTCGTTTTGTGTGGCTCTTATTAATGTTACTCCGGTAAGTTAAACATTCGTCGACAAAAATACTTAATGTCGAAGAAATAATTAAAATAATTGATCATAATAATATCAGTTGTTTTTTTAGGGTGGTATATACATGTTTCATTTATTCGATACGTATTCTGCGGGAGTGTCCTTACTATGTTCTGCTATATTTGAAGCTGTAGCAGTATCTTGGTTTTACGGTAAGCAAGCACCTTGTCTATCAAAATCATATTCACACTTATTCACAAAATACATTTTTTACAGGATTAGACAAATTTTCAGAAGACGTGGAGGCAATGCTAGGAATGAAACCTGGACTCTATTGGAGGATTTGTTGGAAATTTATTAGCCCTTCTTTTATTATTGTAAGAACTCCACTATTACTACTATTAGGATTTATTTAAACAGTTGGTGTTATTGCATTTCAGTGCGTTGTTATGTTCGGGCTTTTCCATCATCAACCTCTGCAGTATAACGAATATTTATATCCTCCTTGGGCGGAATGGGTCGGATGGGGGCTGACTCTGTCGTCGATATTAATGATACCACTTTTCGCAATAATTCAAATATTTAAAACGAAAGGAACCTGCATGGAGGTAAAAACAATACACAAAATAAGTATCATTCGAACGTAAAATATGAATTTATTCAATTGCAGAAATTGGCTCTAAGCATTTCACCAGTCGAGGAGCACGAGGAAATTCGAAGAACGAAGCTAGCCAGAAGATTCAAAGCAAAGCATTGGTTGTACGTGTAAAAATGTTGTAGGTAATTAATTAAGCTGCATCTTAGAGAGAACGTCTCATGAAGGAAATGTATCAGCCTTCAACATTTCCCGATGTAGAACTGGAACTCTTTTAATGGGAGAAACGAAGAAAACGTAAACTTTAGATATTAGAGTTAGAGCTTGTATGATTAGACGGAGAATTTACTATTAGTCATAATTTTAATTGCCATTATAAAGTTTTTTTAATAAGTGCTCTCCTTACTTAAAATTTTTACCGGTAGAACGAAAATAGGTAAAAATTTATGTTATTAATTTATTGCTTATTTGTGTGTACTTTTTAAGTTTCTATAGTTGAATATTGTAAATAAAAAGTGTTAAACCTAAGGCAATCATTTTGAAACTAAGTAATAATAATGCTTTGTTTAGATGTAAAATCGTGGATAAATGTTGTAAATACCCATTTAAATTACTATTAACCTATCTACTCGTATATACAAAATAAATCAGTCATATTTTTGCATTCAGCAATATACCTAACTTTAAATGTTTTAGGTAATTATAATTTTTGTGAATCTTAATTAGCAAACAACGATTGCCTTCGTGTTGAACTGCTAATTAAGCTTCGAAAACATAATTTATTGTCGAATGTGTATAGTATTTAGATACGTAACATAATAAAATGTATAGTTTTAAATTAAACGACACCAATTTGCGGAACGTTTCTTTATTAAATACATCACAGAAATATATCTTAAACCTTTATGACGATTTCAGTAGATACCTTCACTTCATCGATCAATTTCGCCCGCTGGCGCAATTGCCCTGTATATTCAGTTAGCCCATTCAAAGAATTGTTCGTGGTTTGTTTCAGTACACCCTCTAAATAACTAATATACTATCGCTTCGACAGCATGAAAGGGTTAGTTTCGATAACTACCATTATAATTTTAATAATGTCTATACAATTTCTGAAGTAGATACACGTTACATAGGTATATACATACAATCATATAAAAACTAAAAACTACAAATAATATTTTTTATATAAAGTCATATCACTTCGTGAATATAATAATATGTATCACGTTCTACTTGTCTTATACATTGTGAGTATATTTAATTTGGATTTATTGTAAATATTTTCAGACTTACAAGCTTGAAAATTGAGATCTTCCTTCTCTTAATTGCGAGTATTTTGAACAGGTAACAGACATTTCCATATTTATTCATCAAAAAATAGAAAAGGTAAAAATTGTAAATGATTTTTTTAGTCGATTATATGATGAACTTCCAGAGTTCCATTCTAACTGAAATGTATTTTTTTTTGTTTTATAGATGAACTTAGTATTAGTTTATTTCTGAACGAGTCGCTTTTGTTTGAATAATGAAACATCTGCTTTCTATTCTGTGTTTTGTGTTTTTTGATACAGCGTTTGTTTTTTAAAGGATATTTACTTACATATGTATAGGTGGGTACATAATATTGAAATAATACTGATGTGATATCATTATGTGTACAATAAGGTAATTGATAATTCAATAAGAAAATTAGATTTGGACATATATTAAAAAGCGGTTGCACATCTTATACAGCAATTAACAAAATAATATAACCTAAAAAATCCTTAAGTCTTGTACAGATTATAATGGAATTTTGTGCTACTGATGTTAGCATGTAGTGCCTAGATATATGAGAAGAAAATTAACAACAGTTGTTACTCAATCAACTATGAATGTGAAGTTCTTGTTGAATAAAGTGCAATTATGAAGTGACAAATAAACTCTTACGATAACAAAATGTTCATTACTCGCGTTAAGAAGTCAACGCACTATTATTTTTCAGAAAATCAGTCTGATAATTGCTGTATAAATTACCTAAATAATATTTAGCTATTCTTTTATGTTTATACAAATTTACGGTTTTTGGTCACAATGTTTTCCACAACGTTTATCACAAATTCACGGTCTCGTGTAGAATTTATTTTTATTTTAAAACATATCACTAACAGTTAGACAGTCTTTTTAAGAGAGATAAGTTCGCATTTTTGATAAAGGTCGAAATTATAGATGCACGGAAATGTACGGTATAAAAAACCGAAGAATTAGTCCATTAATGTCTGGCAACAAATGCTGGTGAAGTATAGGAAGAAAACGAAAAAATGGATGAATGAAGAATCTTCTAAATGGTGGATGTTCTGTAGCTGAAAAATTCAAGCCATAGGTATATAGACAGAAAATTTTATACTCCAAACTTCTATCAAAAATGACCATTTATCCTAATACCCCAGCAACGTTTATTTACAAAATAGAACTTTGATCTTCTTTCTTCTCTTCCTTTTCCCGTTTCTTGGACTTTTTCCTCCGTTTCGAATCTCTGGTCTTCGGCGACCTCTCCAGGAGGAAAAGCGCCTCGTGGAAGTCGTCCGAGCTAAGATTCGACTCCTGAACGTGAAGAACAGAACTCAGAGCACCGTCCGTCGACGATCTAGGAAATCTAAAAGAGATAAGGAAAACAAGACCACCACCTGCGATGCTTTATACCTGAACAATTCCCGATCTCTCTCCGATTCGGTGGCGCTCTTGAGTTTCCCATCCTCCGCGGCGGATCTGGAAGGGCTCACGTTGGGCGTTTGAAGATTAGACGAAGATGAAACGGGCGAGCTTATTTTGATCGCCGTCGTGAAGCAGAGCTCGGGCGGCAGCGAGGAGCAATTGTTGAGGCTAGTGCTCGATATGCTGAGTGAACAGGACGTTAGGGGTAGCGGGATGCTGAAACTGGTTAAAATTCGATCATTGTAAATAAGGCGTAATTTAAGAGACCCACTTACCTAGAGGATCGAGAGGGCCTGCCGTTTTGAATGAGACTTAAAGGTGGATGTTTAGGTTCTGGAGTGCGGGATATCGATACGCCCGAGATGAAAAGTGTCGGGGACTTGGGGATGCCAGTTTCGCTTTCGTACTCGTTGGAGCTGTCAGTTTCTAAATACTGGTCTGTGCGTTTCAAAGGATTATCACAAATTTGGATGCGAAGTTTCGAAGAAGCACCTGAAATGAATTAATGAAATTACTGGAAAACACTATTAAATCGAAGTACCTTTGCTGGCTTTCTTTTGTTCTTCCACAAGGAATCCAGTCGATCTAGAGAAGATGGCCTTCCTGCAACTTTTGTGATGCTTCTTAGGACTTTGCTTCTCACTTTTACATTCGCTTATTATCACGACTTTCGCTTCGTCGCCGTTTTCGGATCGACGCAGTTTTTCATCGTCCATTTTGCGAACTTTGTTCTCACCAATTAGTCCTATGTTCTTATTGATCGCTACTTTAGACGAATGATTGGTTTTAGGCAAATGAGCTGAACACAATTTTTCTTTCAACGAAGACAAGGGGTTAGGCGTCGGCTTCTTGCCGTACTCACTCGATTTGGCTACTTCTTCAGTCTTTTTGGTCTCGTCAGCAAAAGTCTTACTACCTGCAATGGCGCGTAAATGTAGATAACCCAACATTTTTAAATGAATCAATTAGCTACTCTTACCAATATCATCGTCAGTAGTGGAACTCAAAATTCCACAAATCTCTTGATCCGCTATAATTGAATCGGACATGGTGGTGTCGTCCACAGAGCTATGCTCCTGATAGCCGTCTTCCTCTGGGTAATCATCTTCCTCTGGGTAGCTGGTGCTCAACAGCATAAATTGCTTTGTTCTGGCCTGCACTGACGGTTGGGCCATCAATCTCCTAACGGCATCTTCTGGCTTATCCTCGTGCTGGCTACTGTGGTCTGAATCCAGGTGGTAGCGGGGCTCGTCGCAGTTGGGTTGGATCCTGCCGTTACCGCGACCGCTTCTGCGTACGCACAAATCCCCCGTGGAATGGGAGCGCTTCAGACGGACGTCGCTTTCGTATTCGTCAGTGTCTTCGAAGGCATATCCTGATTTGATATCAATCATCAGCACGTTAATAGCTTAATTAATGACAATACTCACCGTTTTCGTGAATTTCAGATATGTGGAACGTACCGTCCTCATTCCCTTTGCACGGCAGAGTTATTTCCACCTTCTTGGCTTCTTCGCTTCGTTTATCTAAATGTCTTATGTCTAGATTTTCGCTCGTCAGCGACTTTAAAAAATAGTCTACTGTTATTTCGGCTTTGGTTTTTTCCATAGTGATTTTCTCGACTGGACTTATACTTGCTAAGGTCATTTCGAAACTAGCTCGTTCTTTTTCTTGTAGGTGTTTGCTGATAGCAGCTGTTGATTCTTGAAGGCTCAATTGTATAGCTAGCTTTAACTGTTCGTCGGATGAGCTCTCCGTACTGTTGTTAGAGCTGGGATCTGGTGTGATTGTTGGTTGGTTGGCTTGAGCTTGCTTCATTCTGTCTTCAATCATTTGAAGTCGAGACATTTCTAGTGCTATTATTAATTCCATATTGTAATGGGATTCTGCAGGAAAATTAAAATATAATTTGAAATTATTTTTGGACTAGTCTAGTAGATAGTTACAAAAACTTACTGTTGCAATTAGTACTACAAATGTTGTTTTGTTCTTCCTGCTTCGTTCTTTTGCATGTGCAAAAAGTCTTATGGGCTACCCCCATGTCAGTCTCTTCGTCTGTATCATATTCAGGCCATTCGCAGTCTTTTAACCAAGTACACGTCTGGGATAAATCCGACTGTAAAGTAGTGAATTTATTATATGGTACTTCTCGAATTAGAAATAGATTACATACATCAATGTACTTCTTCTTTCTTTTCCTTTGCATAGGCGGCGTTTCCGGGGGTATCAGACCTTGTTCCACTGCTCGTACGAATTCGTGTCTTTTTCGACGCACCAGAGCAGACGTCTGAATTATCACAGCTTTCGGTGTGCGTAAGTACGGTCTGGCGATCATTTCGCTCAAATTTTCGGTAACTTCTTCTAGCTCATTCTACAACAAGATATATTTAAAATTGCTTATTTAGATCGAGGAAGTTTTAAAAATACCTGCATAAATTCGAAAATCGTTTTGTTGATACCGTCGTCTTCAAGGTAGAAGCCGTAAACGTAGGAACCGCAGAGGACTCTTCTAGCCTTTAATAGTTCCCGAACTCCATCTTCTATAAATTTTGTGCTTTTATCAGTAACTTCTACGAAAAAATAAAAATTGAAATAGTTACAGCAGACAGCATCGTGTTTAGTTACCATCCCCTTTGCTTTGGCCTAAACTACTGGCCAGTACTTCCATTTTCTGCTTGACAGAGTTCAGAAGAATCTCTTCCAGTTTTCGGCTGTTTTCGTGGTTTTTAAACCTAGTGTAAAAGTGAAGGAAACGGGACATCTCTTGCATTTGATTATTTCTATCCAACGCTTCGATGATCAGGCTTCCTTGTTTCTCGTCGGCTTTGCTCACCGCTTCGAACCGATTGCACCTGAAGTAACCGCCGGTGGCAGAACTGTGTCGTTTCCACGATTCTTGGCACACCCAGCAGAAGTCGTATTTGCACTGAAGCAACCGATAATATTAAAGAATAAATGTTGTTTGCGATTATACAATTACCTTGGAACACTTCATATGATTGCATCCTTCGTTCTTCTGAATGGGGCTTTTGCAACTGGGACAAGGCTTCGAATTAGTCACTAACCACAGGCAATTGGCAGCATCTTCAGTTCCACTACAAGAGGCTTTCAATTCTTCTGGTTTGACTTCGCTGATTTGCATTTGCCATTCCTGCCATTGTTTGCAACCGCACGGAGCGTGCGCTTCTCCTGCAATTTAGGGCATATATCCAATTAAAATAAATTTGTTAAAATGAAAATTCGGAACGCGTTAGGGCGAAATATTCGTCGAAATGTACACATATATAGTCGGTTGCTATTGCGGTTAACGAGTTTTGCTAATATTCCAGTTGGCAGTTCATTTAAATTTCAATTTCTCTATTTTCCCTTGCATCTATTCGCCGCATATACGCATAAAATTCTCCCACATTCGGGAAAATGACAAGTTATGTAGTTGTTTCTCTCTTTAATAGGACGCGTGATATTCACATGTGTCGCAGGAAAATGTAATTTTCAATTTAACGCTCGTTTGGAGTTTCACGTCTAAAGAGCTCTGTAATGCTTCAACTATTTGAAGGAGAAATTATAGAGAATTCGTATAAATGGAGTAACTGGGATGAAATCGATTTGGATGAATTTATTGATGCATTTATAATTTGAAAAAACCCACCTAAGCATTCCCAACAAAAGAAATGCGCATTGCCGCAGTCCACAGCATGGGAAGTGACTGGTAAAACTTTGTTGGCGGTGTTTCCGCTTGCCTGGCCATTGATTGTCGCTCGTTCCGCTTCCGGAAGTTTCACTGCTCGCCCACAGTCCGGCACAGGACACCATTTTATGCACTTGTTGCTTTCCACAAAAGCCTGTACGAGGCATAAATTTACTATAATTTCCAATCCAAATTAATACCTACAAGCACCTTTATATCGAATTGTAGGTATCGCCTGGCCATTTCTGGTGTAACTATTTTTTCTATCAGTTCCACGGGCACTAAAAAATCGCACTCAAACGCCGGGCACAAGATGTGGTGAGCATCGCCGTCTTGTATTTTGGTCGTCAGATAACTCTTCCAGCAACTTTTGCAGAACATGTGTTTGCAGGACGTCTTCACCGGTTGATCCCAGTTGGAGATGGTAAACATGCAGATTTCGCACTAATAATTTACAAATTAATCGGTCACTTAAATAATATCTAGAGTATTACCAGAAAGTCCATTTCATCCATAGAGTACGATTCGGTGGAGGTGCTGGACTCTATTGAACTGCCGGTTTTCAAGAGGGATGTCGGGGCTTGGACGCCGGCTAGTTGACAGCATTCTACGGGATTCTTCATCCAGGCCTCCAATAACAATTCTTTCGACCATTCTGAATTAAGAGAAATACGAAAAAAGTTCTTAATTGAAAACAATATTAATAAAAAATTAATAGAACCAACGTTGCAACTATCTTTTTATATCTACTTATTCACCATTGTTCCTCAGAAGCGCTTCAGCCGTGAATAGTGGTATCTTGAGCATATCCGAAGTGTCTACCAATAACTGGTCTTTAGCTTCTTGCAGGTCTTGACTTCTTAGGCCGCTGTAGACTTCTTGTTCCAGCATGATTTCGTTTTCGTTAGTCACATCCGATGAATCGGCCTGGAGGGTAATAAATTAAACCGTAAGTTCTACGAGTTGTTTCCTATTTTAGGAAAGTACTCACGAATACCATCCTACTTTCTAATAGTCTGGCAATATCGTGGTGGGAGCCTCTCATCGCCAGATCGCATGGTGTCATTTTGTCGTTGTTCTCTACGAAAAAGGGCGATCCGTGCGCTAACAGCAGCTCTACGCACCTCTTCAAACCGGTTTGAGCCGCCCAATGAAGAGCAGTATTGCCTTCCTATCAGTTTCATACAATTATTCTATCAATCGTATAAGAATAGGATGGGCAGATATGTTTCTTATGTAGTGAAAAATCAAAGAATTCCCTTACAACTAAGAACAAAAGTATTGAAATCTCTAGAAAGCCATAAACGTGATTAAACAGGTAACGAAATTTAAATAGAGATAGACAGGCCACAATGAACGGCTCTAGGATAAGTTGGAATAAAGAAATCAGAAACTAGAGAAGTATACAGTTCGAACATGGAAAAGGGAAACTGAAGATAGAAAAACCTGCAAACAATTGGGAGAGACCAATATTCTGACATGGTCTGAATAGAAATTGCTGAATGATGATGATGACTATACATAGAGTAATATGCATCGTACAACAATAAATTTATACAATAGTTTTTTTACCTTATCTTGGGCAGTCAAATCCACCTTCTCCCTGGTCCCGTTGTTCAGCACAGCTCCTTTCCAGAACAGCAGCAACTGGACGCAGGCGGCGCGCCTCTCCTGGGCGCTGAAGCTCTTCGTTTGATTGAGCTGGCAAGCCGAGTGCAGCACCGTCTCGTTGACGGCGTTCTTCTTGTTGGGATTGCCGCCCAAATCGTTCAGAAAAGTCCTCAGCAAATGCTTCATTCCTGAAACGAAGAAGGGCGCGATTAATCGAGCGCCGTTGACCGAGCTCGGCGCGTGAACAGCTCACCGTGCTTGGCGGCGTAATGCAACGCCGTGTTGTGGTTGTGGTGGTCGCCGTAGCTGGTGTTGGGGTCGAGATTCTTCCGCAACTCCGGTGAACTTTGGTAGATTTGCATCGCCGCGAATTCGTCGCCGTTTTGCAGGTACTTTTTGAATTTGGACGAGGTGCTACCCATGCTTGCTAATCGCTTTCGATATGTCTTTTAGCGGAACTTTTTTTCGTCATGAAACTCTACTGCCTCGCCTACAGCACCATTCTTTCGCCTGCAAAATTGTAATGACAGATATGTTTACCCACAGAAAAGTAAAATATTCTTATATAGTAATTATTCCTGTTTTTAAGCTCTAATATGTCTAATGCTACAAGTGTCTCATTTAAGTTGGCCTTAAGCCAATCTTACCTTGTTAAAACAAGAAAATTAATTACATTTGAGCTATTATCAGGTAATTATTTGGTACTAAAACATTCGAAATAACACATAACAAAAATTTATAGGAGCTACAAGTTGTTACTATTATTAGACGAAAAATCGATACGACAATGACGGAAAACGTAATGTGCTTTTACTAGATTATCAATCAGTTGAAATTACATTTATAACAAATTCAAGCGACACTACCGATATGATGCAATTAGTACATGCACTCGCATAATTATGATGCAATCAATCATTAAAAACGAATACAATATCTATTAAAATACATTAAAAACAGAAAATCGAGTAACATTAATCGAAAAATCCATACTGCATAGCATATTGGTACATGTGAATTAGTAAAATGCAATAAAAAACACATCCAGGTAGCTATACCTATACCATTGACAAAGGGCAATTAAATAACAATGAATAGAAGCGAATGAAATATCGGGGTGCATCACATGCACGTCTAATATTTACACTAAACACTCACCCACACCTGTGCTGATCTGTTATCCAACATTTTCCCAATGCACGGAAGAATTTCCCCGACGAAAAATTGACATTTTCGTTAGCGGTCTCGACGAGAGAACGTAAGAGTCGTCGGAATCGATCGCGGGGGCGCAGCCGCAGACAGGGCGGTCGGCCGCCCCCGTAACCGTTGGCGGGACGGCCGCCGCCGTCGCGGATTAATTTTTAATCCGACACGAAACTCCAATGTAGTTAACAATTTAAACGATACATGCCGAATCAAGGCGATATGCAATGCGATATGCAATAGCATTTTGTATTCTGTTTTTACCCAGAATACGTTATTAGGAAGGTTTCTACAGAGTTTTTTAAAAATGACCTGTTGGTAGTAGGTGTAATGATTCGAAATAGTTGAATGAACTCAACAGCAAAAAATGTAATAATTCAACAAAAGTAATAGGTAAATATTTGCTATTGATTGGGTAGATGTATTCGTTTGAAACTATTATTTAACATAGGTTTTCATACGTTATATTGAATAAATAACAAGTAAGTATTATGTTTTGATAAAATATCAGAAAAATATTTCCAAATTTTGTTTCACATTTTATGTTTTGTATAAAATTTTAGTTATAATGAATTTATTTAAAAATTAAACTTGTAAATACTTAACTATTAAGTATTTAACCAAAGTACCGTAAGTGTGCTTCTCCAAAATTTTAACTCAATTAATCGAAACATGAGTTATTTAAATATCCAAATCCAGCACTTGAAGCCTTATTTACAGTCAATATCTTTACAATTAGTATTTATTAGAATAATTTTGAATTCATTATTACCTATTCAAAGTAATATCAGCTTCTTAATTGATACTTAGGTTATTGTGGTGTGGAAGAAATCAGCATAAAGTCGGGTTGTTCAAAGCAACTCCGGTGGAAATGTCGTTTGTGCGAATTATATCGCGGAGTTTTCATTAAGTTGTAACGAGAAAAGCTTTACATTGAGTTTCTCTAACGACTAGAAAAATCATTGGGCGGAAACCTCGTGAGATGTGAAAATGTAATACTGAAAATGGGTGCTCGAGTTTGGTATTTTCGCAATACTGAAAGCCTTTCGGTACATTGACAACGAGACGAATGATGTCGAATGTATGTATGCCGGGAGAAGTTAAATAAGTACAGTAAAAAATACTGATTTGAGTGCAAGTTCTTATTTTAAGTGCTGGCGAAGGTGAATACTTCCCGTTGTGAAGCTTAAATTTTTTGTACTGAAATGTATAATTCTAAATGAAAAACTGAGGTTTAGGAAAAACTTTATGCAAGTATGAAATGGTAGAAACAGTTGAAAATACATAAAAGTTAGTTTTTAGTCACGAAACATAAATCTCTAATAATTAATCAATTCAAATAATTAAAGGAAAGTTTTTATTTATTGTATATGTAAGGATTATTCTATAAAAAATTGGAGGTAGCATATAGAGAGATTTGGAAAATATATTTTATTACGGTAGAAACTCGGTGATAAAGATAAGATTTTGGGATCCGACAACTATAAAGTGCTGGGCTATAAGAAAACCGAAACAAAAGAGAAGTATAATACCTGGTGTATTAAATAATTGGGGATGATCTTGCGGTAAGGATTTTCCTGATTTTACTTGACATGCGCTACTGCGCATTGGACGGCATGTAAGCCGAGTGATTCTACCACGTCCCTCCCCAAACGCGATTTTCCGATTTTCAGTAGCACGCCGACCACCGTGGAAGCCATACGAACGATGTTTTGAACGCTCGCCATACTTTCGACTCTCTGTTTTTTCTTCTTTTCGCTGGTTTTTTAAGTCTTCACTTTCCGACGACTCTTTCAGGCTATACATGTAACGAAAACCACCCTCTTTAATTTTTTTTTCTTTTCGTTTCCTCGAGTTCACCAGACCGGAAAATATTTATTTCTTCATAACAGTGCGCCGTTTTTGAATACGAACTCAATCGCGAGTGCTGCATTCACATCGCGAAAACGAAGTTCTACGAAGTATTTGAAATTAAGAAATTATCTTCCTCTCAAAATGACGGTAGAAAGTTCATCGTTGTTCAAACTGGGTGAGGAAGCGTTTAATTTAATTCCTTTTAATTATTTTTTTTTTGAAATGCGCGTTTTCGCCGCATTCGTCTGTTCGTTCGCTTCGGAAATTTTTGTGTCAATATTTTGAACTAACCAAACAAAAATAACTGTTATCTACATTTGTTAGCTTTGCATATTCGATTACAGCAAAGCGATGATAAAACAAATACGTATAGCTCTAGGGGTATTTATAATGTCGAAGTGTGTAGATACAAAATAATTGATACACTGACGAGAATTAATTAAATATTAAAAATCGCGTTGATTTGTAAACCATGTTAAAGGAGTTGGTTCTACAGAAGTGATTTAAATAATTTATTTGCAACCATTCGTATATTATATATACCCCCGACACCAATTCTTGTAATTGATCAGGGAATAGAAATCGATATATTAACACTATAGGTGTTATTTATAATAAATTTTTTCAAACATTGAACTTACAATTATATTATATCTACTAAATAATTCATAACAGGCGACGATTAAAGTATGCCGAACGGACTACAGCTATATTCCCTAGATTTCTCTACAAATTCATTCCACATAGTCATTCAGTCCATGATAATTTCGGACTATTTTAGATTATAAACGGATATAATGGCATCGGCTATTAATGCAATTCGACATATGGCAGTTATAACTATTTCCATACACAATATATCGGCGTATAATCCATGTTTGTGGGTTTTAATGGGTTTGACCCCTACGTGATATTGTTTATAAATTAGGAAATTCAGAAAAATGCAGTTGATATTTTTAATTAGATACGTACTGGTTATACTGTGATTAAAAGCGCACGTTTTAACTTTTTTAATTACATTGTTTGAAGGCAAAACTCGTGCATGAAACGTGAACCAGATACCTGATTTGTTTGAAATTTTAATTAGCTTTTTTAATTAATTGGGAGTATCGATTTTTATTCGAGTAGATATGTACACTTATTTTTTCTAATTAAACGTAGATACTTTCAACGCAATATTCAACCGAATATTGAAATATATTTATTTTTGGCATAAAAAACCCCATATGAAGGAGCTTTTAAAGGAGGAAAGAATGGAAATATTCATACGTATAAAGAAAAACACAGTCTCAAAAGAACAAAAATATCCTGTGAAGCACGTAAGAGGATAACGATATTGAAATCTTTAAAACTAAATTGAAAATATTCAATATCGCTCTAAGGACTTCCAAATAAATTAATTCCACATCGAAAAAGGAACAAATTGTGCAAGGTGTACCCTCTTTACAACCGTTTATTGAATACTTGAAAAGGAGCCAGGATAATCGGCTGACATACGACGATTTCGGTCAATCAACCGATTCATCGATTTCTTCTCTTAAAGGGTCCTTGAATGGCTTAGCGTGACTGGAATTGTAACGTTGAATGCGAAAGCTTTTTCGATTGCTTACTTTCATTTAAAACTACCGTTCGGAATTCTCGGTGCGCATAAAATGGAAAATCGTTTGTTACTTTTCCACGTAACAAATTTCATACGTTGTAATAATTATTAGAGCATGTAAGTACGTCAGAAAAAGTTTTCCGGCGAACAAACGAGCCGGGTAATGTTCGTGCGAAAATAAATTCCGGTAATCGTTCCGGGAACACGCCTGTGCTATATTATATGAATCGCGCCGATGCTCTTGCTTGTGTGGAAAATTAAACCATTTAACCCCAAACTTTACACCGTTGGGAACGCACAGACGTTGAATTCTTAATGAATTGTATATCTGGAGAACGGAGAAAAGTTTGAAATTTCCGATTATATAATTGAATTGAAGGTACATGTGTCAGCTTTTTTAATAAATCGTTCTTTTATTTTATGGTGTACTTCTTTCGAAATTTATTTAGTTCGCATTGATATTGAAAGCACGATAAAAGCGAGAGTCGCTATTTTTCGCGAAATATGATGCTATATACTTTCGTCTAGTTCGTGCTTTTGGTTCTCTAAGGAGTTACATAAAACGATGCCTACAGGAATAAAGTTGTCCCAAAGGAACGAGCGGTCTTTTAACAACTGGTGTTTCCATTATCTCGGTACAAAACGTATAAGTATTCGAATGGGCTACTCTACTAATTGATTTCCTGATAACATTTGTGATTCTGTAAATCATTCGAACAGCTGAAGATATACAGTACAACTGAAGATATCCAGTACAACAATATGGAAATGAGCGAAAATCAACCCCGAAAATCGAAAACATCCCCGGTAGATTTTGGGTTTAATCTAAATTCCGACCGTTCGAAGTTTAGTGAATATATTTAGCGTCGAAATGATACTCCGAAGGATTTATAAAACCTTTTTCGGGCGACTATAAGAAAAGGGACGAAGGCGCCGCTTCCATTAAATAGAAGGGATTATATTATGGATGCTTCGAAATTGGTCCATCCTCCCAAGGAATCCTTCAGTTTGATTTAAAATGCGTCTGTTCTTTATTTTCCCAAATTAATTTGCTGCGATTTGTAGCTTTAATTAACACGTTTCAACAAATTCCTATTATGTATACTTTAATTACAAATTCCTTAGCTAAACAACTTGCGTGCCCTTTTGGATAATTGAAATTTGTTTACTTAAAAAAGTGGTATTAACTTTAATATTACTAACCTTAATAAAGTTTTAGTTACTTCAAAGTTTCCTAACAAGATTCTCGACAGAATTAAGAAGATCAAATGCGGAATATCAAGAAATTGTATACAACGTTGTAGTACTATAGTATAAGATGAACTTTATTATAGTCGCTATAAGCATAGTAGAGAAATCGCGAAGGAAATTATAATCATTATATCTACCATGTAGATCAAAAATCCTTTTATAACTTTCCGAGTGAAATCATTTACTTGAAATTGTTAATATATTCAGGCCAACTTAATTAACTTTAATTTAGAAATTTTCGTGCTCTTATAATTTTTGATTTGTACAGCTACGTTGGCATTACTTCTTATTATTAATTCCCCTAAATTGGCAATTCCGTTCGCAACAAAAACAAATTAACCTTACAAAGAGACCTCAACTCCATGGAGTTGTAAAACGGTCGACTCGTCAAAAGAGATGGGCTCCTATTTAATTTCGAGGCGGTAGAAGTTGCTCTGTTACTCAGCTACTCCGTAATTCTATTGTATAGGTACTCTATTCTGCTTCATTGCTGATTTTACAGTTCCTGGAATTCAACTCAAAGTAGATAACTAGATAAAGCTTTACGAAGTGCTCGACGCTTTGGACATTCTTCCATTTTTGCATTATACGTATCTATAGCGACGCCTCGAAATTGGAAAAATGACAATGTAATGTAAATGAATTAAGTTTTCCAATGAAACTCCTATTTCACTTCATTTGCTATAGGTAATTGAATGACGACGAATTTCGACATGAAAGCAATAATTGTATTAGCGAATAGTCGGGGGCGTAATTCATATTTCATTGGATTGCAGCAAAAAGCCTTTTCATTTCGAGCGGGGAATTGTTACAATTTTATTTTTATTGCAATCTAGTGCACTCAATGCTTCCAACTCTAAATAGTATTACAAAGGTAAATAACGTTTACCTGCACAAATTCGATAAACTCAATTGATTTGTGTAATTTTTTATGTCGAATACTCGTATATTTGTATAGTACTTACCAATAGTATGCACAATGTACTCCAATTATGGATTAATCAAATTTACATTTGATTACTGTTAGGGCAAATAGCTTAATTAATGCATAACCGTAGACCTCTTTGCATAGATCAATAATTGAAATTTGCAGGCATAATGTTACACCATCTGGACCTCGAAAAATTCAAGCCGACAATCCAGACAGAAATCATGAATTCCGCCGACACTGCAATTACAGTCGAATTTGTCGCCGTCGTGTCCTTCCGATCCTACCCTTTTACTTTACAAGATTTTTCTATTTCACGTCGCCGTTTCCATAAACTCGATAAGAACCCGCGCTCCTTCCACTGTCTGAAATCGAAACGTCGATACCGGTCGTGAGGGGAAAGCGAAATCGGCGCTAAATAAATCCCTCTACGTTTCGGACTTTCTTGCACGTTAAATATTCTCCCGGCCAGAAGTCACGTAAACGGCATGTCGCCTGGATATAAAATTTAAGGAACTTGTGAAAAATCCCTATGCGGTATTTGTAAAATTTATAACATAGTATACACAGTGACAAAAAAGTAACCGGTATATTGGATGCCTAGTGCAGAAACGTTATGTACTCAGTAAGATCGTGTATTAAACCAGAGTTAGAGCGTTTTCACATTTGCAATTTATTGCAAGCAATAAAAAATATTAACAATTTTTATCTAAACAAATTTGTTCTCCGCAGAAATTAATATGATCCAACTAAACTTGGATGACTGTACTTCAAGGAAGAGGATTTGGTAGATGTACAATTAAAAAATAGACTTATTTTTACCTGTATTTAATACTCTATAGGTTATAGTTACTTCCATTATGAATAACCCCCTGCGTTTCTAAACAATTTAATACCCATAAAATAAAACGAACTATTTATCCCTATACCCCAAAGGCGGAGAAACAAATGCACATGTGTATTGTATGTATAAAAATGTTTTGCAACTTCTTTTCTGTGTAAAATTAATAATTTTTCACTCGTGTAAATATTCTAATTTCGTTGTCTTCCAGAGACTACGTCGAGAGAAATCCTATAACGGAGGGATTGAGAACAGCCCTAGCCCGACTGCGACAGAGATCGACACCCCCTGAAAGTCAAACGTCCCCCTCGCACCGACCTCAACAAAACGTAAGTATTCTTGGACATTATGGGAATCAGTAATATCCATTTTAGTTTTTGTATTTATTTTTTTTATTTGATTCGAATTGGCATTTGTGAATGCGCGGTTTACTGTTTGCCCATATTCATTAAAAAGTCATTTGCAAACGAGTTTGTATCGAAATGGGAAAACGCATACACAAAAATGAATCCTTTTGTTGTGTGTTACATGATGAATAATATAACTTTTCTGCATTCGTTTTGTGGTCGATTATATCCTGCAATAATTAACTATGAATGATTATTTTTTAATGGAAATTGAAAATTCACGAGTTTTTTCACGTCACTCTATTATTGCGAAACAACACACCTGCTCCAATTATATCAACTATCCACCCTTTCCTAATTAAAACTCATTAACCTAATTAAGCCGCCTAATTAAATTTATGAAGAACAGCACACCCTAACAACTTTCGAGTTGTTTAAGACTAAGGACGGTGTATAGCATAAAATTTTGTTTTATTACACTCCCAGTACCGAGCAATAAATCCTTTTCCGAAGTTTATATTTTATTTTGGCTGTCGAGCCGAAGCGAATTCGCATAAAGTTTAACTTTATATACGTGCCTACTTTACTTGGCGAATTCGTTTCCTGCGAACGACGCGATAAATAACATTGTAACGTTGCCAGAAAGGGTAGTTAGTTTTCGGCACTTTCAGATATTTCGAATAAGAACAGTCGATCAAAATTCTCCGGTAATATCAATAACTTATCCGATTTCCTTGCACTCCTCACTTCCTTGCTCTCTCCTCTGCATTCTCCTTGCATTCGAGATTAGGTATTCTTTTCTCGAGACTATTTATTCTTAGGTGCGTTTAATTATTAATTTTAATTTGTTTGAATTAATAATGTTGACTGTTGTGGAAAGTCAATATGGTAATCAATATAGCAATCAATGTGTAACACCATTTGCAGTTCGTTCCTTTGAGCTTCCGGTGATCGCAATAAATTATTAATTCTTTGTTGACACATTGTTTCCGAAGCGTGGTAGTTCGAGTTTGTCCTTCAATCAATATAATGTTAATCTATTTTCGTATCAACCCCATAAATAGTATAAGAAAGACACGAGCAAATATTTTGCCACGTGCCTTATATGAATAGAAATATGAAATAAATTAATTATTCATTAAGGTACCGTTTGAAATATAGCACTCAAATTTTGCACTCCATGTTTTCATTAACAATAATTAAATTTAGGGTGCAGTCCATTTTTTAAAATTTTTATGATTAAAATTTAATACATGCATTAAACATCCTGTAAAAATAGACCTCTAAGTAGATTTCCTGCCATATCTCATAGAAAATCATCCACCCGCAGTTTATTATACCATTTATTTGCAATAAAACGCCAATATACCTACACAGCCATATTAAACTGAAATGTTATGAAATCCAGTATATTTGATTTAGATCCTTTGAAAGGATAATAAAGTAGCTTTCGTAAAATGATGCTCTTGTGTATTTTCTCGGATCGAAAACAGGATAAGCCTATAATCCCCGACGAGTTAATTGACTAAAGATAAAATGTCAACGCGACTGCTCCTCGGGGTTGCCGGCTGACATTACGCAAAGCGATGCGGGGTGGGAATAAATATCAATCGCTTCTTGACGAAAGCAACCCCTAAAGACAACCCACTCCATTTATTTACTGCTATAAAACATTGCTCGCGAATATAATCGTTGAATAGTAAGTAATAAATTATAGGTACATTGTTATGATTATACTTACAATACTTAATATTTAATATTCCGTACTTATCATAAGCATAAGTTATGATAAGCATAAAAATCAAATCAAATTAATTTTGTGAAATATGTAACTCCAATCACTCTTTCAGCGAAACAACTATTTTATATGTAAATTACTTAAATTGATGAACAATTTGAATAATTCATATTTCACTCAATCATTATCAATTTCATATTTAATTAGCATTGTAGGCTGGTTGGAGTCATTTGCGCATTGTTTAAAAATAAATGTGTAATTACATGGCAGATATAATACCTATGCCTAATTAAATATTTCACAAATTCATTCATATCATTTCATTTATTCATATTGGTATAGATTAATCATGTACGTATGGTCAATTAAAGAACGACTAGAAATAATTAATATATAATTAAACTTGTTTTTGAGATCGATCGATAAATATACGAGGTATAACCAAAATGTTTAAAATAGAAATTACACAAAGATATAAAAGTCCAGTTGTTTTAAAACAAATTGGGCAAAAATATAACCTTATCGTACTTGTTAATTACTAACTAATAAGTGCACTCATAACCGGTCATTTTAGCAATATTATTATCAAGAGGCTTTAATTAAAAGAGTTATCATCATAACCGGAACGATTACATTTAATCAACTTTTCTGCACCCTTTGGTAGAGCGCAGAGCGATCGTGTGTGACCGCTAACGAAGCAAAGATCACGCGATACCTTTTTAGAGCTACAATAATAATTTCCGTTACGGATAATGTATTACAACACGGTATAGCGGCGTTTCGCTACTTCATTTCGAAATTTATCGCCCGGCATTAATATGCAAGATTCCTTTTTACAAATTCGACCTAAATATCTCCTTTTACGGATCGTTTCTCTTTTATCGAGTATCAAATTCCGTTCCGCGCCAAAGAACTAAATATTTCCCTAAGGAGACGAATCGTTCGCTGAAAGGTTTTTAGTATTAAGTATATGGGATTATAAAAAGTTGTTTTTATTGCAAGTTTCTGCAAAAAAATTAGAACATAAAAGTCTTCTTGTGCTACTAATATCAATGAAACATATTGCATCAGGCACTGTGGAACTGTGGAACTATGGCCAGTTTTTCAACTGGCATATAAAGAATCAACCGCTCTATCATTTGATAAGACTTTGTACGATTCTTTATTAAGGTGTTTTGTGTGGTAATTTATAACATTTTTGGAATAATATCTATGTATATAGGTACAAGAAATTCAAGAAGTTGAACCATGTTTAAAATACACATTCCATTCATTAGCAAATCAAATAAGACTTATTTAATGATGATGGCTGGATGTTTCATCTACTGAAACTTTCAGTTAGACGTTTGCTTAAACTTTCCTTGTGTTGTTAATGGTAAAGTGTTATTCGCTAGAAAAGCGGCACAAAAAACGGTTTGCATTAGGTTTTAAAGAGAAAGGAACAATAAAAGTATGCCAATGAATAAATTTGCCGTTCAAAGAGCCTCTCAGCTTCGTAATTAATTAGATCCTTTTGGTGAGCGTTAATTTTATCGCCTTAATCTTTTCCGCTTTTTATAGTGACTGTAAATTTACGTCAAATACGGGAAAAAAATAAAAGTCGTCTCGACCCGGTCACACGGTTATTTATTTGTCGCTCGAATAAAACCTTAATAATTTTTTTATTAAAATACAAATCAATTTAACGGCGACACTTTTACGGCTTACTATCTTTATTAAAATCTTCACAAATTGACATTTATTGACCCGACAACAAAAACAACGAGTGAAGTCTGATAAAAAATCGCTTTACCAACAATAAAAACAAGAAGTTTTTAATTTTTAATCCGACGAGATTCCACCGAAAACTTTTAATTAATCCAGTAATTTATTTTTAACGACCCGACTTAGCCCTATTCGAAAACGGAAAGCAACTTCAATAAAACGTGCAGACTCGAATCGCTTTATATTTCAGTCTAAACTCAGGATGTTTGCCTACGGAAAACACACGCTAGGGAAAACCGTCTGAAATGTCAAATTGCTCGCAACCCAAGTGCTTCTGAAAAGAAGAGCTCTATTGTGAATTGTTCTGCATCAAGAACACCGTTAAATTGTATTGCAAATCTCACGATGTACTTTGATGCATACCTACATCGACATTGATATGCAGAGTCATTATAATTGTCTCAAAAAATTAACATTATTCCACGACTATATTGCCGCAAACCGAATGAGATTTCTTGTAGTTAAGAAATCAATTAAGACTTGTGCACAACTTTGATGGCTTTCGAAATCCTACCTTCGTTATTTCGGGAATTGAGAACGACTACGATTTTATGGTTAAGTTGAAGTAATTTTATCGACATCGTAAAGCTAAAAGAGGCTTAAATTTAAGTAAAAATTGAATTAGGTAAAACAAGGTAGTTAGATTCCTTGATTAATTTCCATTTCAGATTGTACTTTAACGCATGAAAAATCCACAAAATAATAGGTACTTTTAAAATTTAAGACCATCTGGTTATACTAAAAATTCATATAACATTAACATTTTAATGTTATAATATAATAATTTCAAAATCTCGATGAGCTGATTTAAACAATTTAAATTGCAAATTTCGCAAAATCAATTAGATGTTAGTTTTAAGGCGGTACATTTGCATAGAACGTGATTTAGGGGTAAATTTTACTATGCAAAGAAAGGCATTAATTCTCTGAGGTTATGAGAAAATGTGAATATTAAAATAACAATGAATATATAGGGAGTATCATGAGAAACAGATTAAACTTTAGAAGAGCGTTGAAATGAAAATAAGAAAAAACAAATACTTATTATTAAGTATTAGATAAGTTATTAAATTTGTCAGCAAAAATCAAAAGGAATCAATTATTATTCATGGAATAAGTTTATTTTTTATTATTTCCAGATGAGAAAAGACAGTCCTGAAGTTAGATCTGTTCCTCGATCTCCCTCTGCACATATTTTATTCGATAAATACCTAACAAATGAATCGAGATGTACGAACTTTCCCGTTAAAAATTCTTTGAATTTCAGGCGGAGAAAAAGGTGAATAAAGGAAAATAAAATCGACTGAAACTTTAAATTAAATCAAGAAACTCCGATTCGATGTATACAATACAACTTTTTAGAGAAGTCCTTTATTCCGTTTAGACGTTTTATTGTGTAGCGTTTTCTTAGGTTTCTCTGTGCAAAAATCGAAAGAAAACCTGAAGGAGACGACCTGTTTACAATGGGATGAATGCAATT